CGAATTGCCGAACACGCGGCAGCAGTGCGGCGAAATGATGTCAATTCTCATGATGCGGCTCATTCGAAAAGACCCGGCCACACGTTCAAATTTGATGAGGCCGAAATTCTCGTAAGAGGTGACAATCGGGTGAGCCGAGAACTACTTGAGTCATGGTTGACGAGCCCCCAATCCATAAGCAAGTGCAACGACTTGCCCAATCCATATTCGGTGCTGAGACTCAATTTGAGCAAAGGCAGTTGCCACTTGGGGAACGGACAGGCCACCGCGTCATCCTCCGCCAACACCGGAGGGTCAGATGGCCGAGCAATCATCACGCCCGAGTCCACCGCTCGTGATGAAAGTTCAACAAGTCAGAGCCCGCTTGCTGTCCAACAAGCAATCCACGCGCAGGAAGGCAATTAACGTTAATTGTCGCTGTGTGTTTGCAGGTTCCATTAGTCTCAGGTTGTCGTCGTCACTGCTTGCGACCTTGACAAGGAACTGGGCCACTGCTTTGACCGCAAGACAGCACGAGAACCATTGGGGGCTTGGGCATCTGACTCCAACTTCATCAACATACATATTGATATGCGACCCCTACCCCCTGCTGTCACCTCGTTTGTTTGCGCGGCCAAGAGGCGCGGCCCAGTTTCCTGCTAAGGTCACACGACGTGACTCAGCCTTATCACGAGTGCAATCTCCCCCTCCCCCTCCACACCCTTTTCTCATAGCTACAAAACACTTCAATGCTTGCTGCACACTAACCGTCTCTGAAAATATGGCCTCTTGCACAAAGCCGAAACCTCAGGCGATAAGGTATACGCCCCCCAGCGATTGCATCTTCATCTTTTTTGCTATTTTATAGTCAGTTTTTTTCCCCTGGGGCGCACTACTTCAATGGATAGAACTGAAATCGTCGCCCTGGTAGTGACAAGGATGGACTTTAAAGCAACGTTTCCCAGGTGCAAATTTAGAGATAGCATAAATCGCAAGATTTTATTAGATCCATGACATTTCGAGAGAGCTCTTCAGTAGCTGCCTCTCATTGCATAACGTGAATCACGTAAGAGAAAATACTGATTGAATTCATACAGAAAAATTAATACAAACAACAAGGTTATAAGAAATGGTCCAGAGGCTAATCAATAACGTCAGAAAGTTAAAACGCTAGGGACAGAAGAAAAAAAGGGGGTGGGGGGGGGGAAGACGTCTAAGGTAAGAAATTTGGAGGGCGATGTGTAAACAGGGAGCCGGTGTTACCACGGCAGTGTTAGGTTCACCACATGCTCCAGCTGTTTACATAGGTCAGTTTTAAACCGCTGTATGTGGGCTGCCTCCAGGTAACGTAAGGTACGAGTTGTTCGTGCCCGAACGGCGGTCCAAACCCGACCTATGTAAACAGCTGGAGCATGTGGTGAACCTACCTTTACCGTGATAACACCGGCTCCCTGTTTACACATTCCTCCTTACATCTTATTGCCTTAGACGTCTTTCCCCCCCTTTTTGCTGCCCATAGCGTTTTAACTTTCTTACGCTATTGATTAGCCTCTTTGGCCATTTCTTATGACCTTGTTGTTTGTATCAATTTTTCTGTATGAATTCAATTTGTATTTCCTCATACGTGATTCACGTTATGCAATGACAGGCAGCAACTGAAGAGCTCTCTCAAAATGTCATGGATCGAATAAATCTTGCTATTTTGCCATCTTTAAAGGGATGGACTTATCTCCTCACAAATACGGACATAGTAAACAACTGGAAGGGCTAAAGACTTATAGAAACATTCTGGGTCCCGATGAACTGGACCGAAATCTACTGGTAGATCGACGAGCACCTGGCAGTTTGAAATGTTTAGACCCTTGGCCTTCTTTGCTGGAAGTGGTCAAAAGAGAGTGGCTAGCTGGCTCGGAATATGAGTGAGACAGAGAAAGATACGCTTTATTTTTAAAATATCCTTCCAAAATGCTTCCCATTCATCATGAATAAAATAAGGCACGGAAACCGCCCTTGTCGTTATCGTGAAGAAATGTCCTTGAACACGTCACAAAATGTAAGCGAAATTGAACTTCATTCAAATTGACGCTAGCGTCGTGCGTTAATGACCACATTGTTGCAGTTCAGAAAAACACTGAGGGGTAAAAATTGGTAAATATATAAAAAAAATTACATGCAAATAGAGGGAAGAGTAAAAGTGGCAGTGCAGTTTCAAAAGACTGCGCACTATCCTGCATGGAGCTGGTATAAGTGTCGCGCAATTATCAAACTCGCATCCGACGCAGACAAGAACACGGTGGCAATTAATGAGCGTCACCGCACCAATTAAGACCTCAAGTGGTAGCTACGGGAACTAACAAGTATAGTACGCACACCGATGACCACTACGAACTATAAATACCGTACAATCTGTGCATGTATCACCTTTACCTGCGCATGCCTCAGACTTTCCTACTATTACCTATGATTAAGGATTTCCGACGGAATCTGAAACGTCAGGACGATAAAACCCTTTTTCCAGTGATCGATTCTTCTTCTTCTTCTTCTATCCTGCATCTATCTATCCAGCCGTTGAGGACAAATTGATCAAGGGTGTCACGTTGGTAGCCCCATTTGGAATGCTATAGGAATTTTAGCGCAAAAGAGGATACCAAAAATAAACTATTCTGAGTCAGTAAAACCGGTACCCGCAAATGTTGTACTATTTTGTGCGCGCATGTGTGTGTGTTTGAATTTGTTTTAGTGTTTCGTTCCAAGCCGCTTGGAACAGTCTTCCTACCGTGGCCGCCGCCCACTCTACAACCATGTGAACTTTAACCCCCCAACGCTGGTCCTGCTGGGCTGCAACATGCGAACTTAGCTGGCGCCAATTCTGCGGCAAGTGGAGAAAGAACTGGACCTGTGCAAATGGTCATCCCCTCCACCTACGATCAGAATGAGTCTGTGACCGTGTGCTTGATTAGGTTTTGACAGAAGGAAGCATCGGAGGTCACCATGCGCTCAATTAATGAAGCAAACTGTCCACAGGCATCGTCTACAGTTGTCAAAAGTTGGTATATCTTCACTAGTCTTCAGTAAATTTTCTATCTCATGCAATGCCAGCCGAAATTCTTAAGTTTGCTTTTGATTGGAAAACACTAATTAAATATGGTTATCATGTGACTTGATCTCAATAAATTGCACTAATATCAGGGTGCCGACCATTGAATGACCTTAGTTACGACCGC